CTTTTCAGCTCAGGGCCTCTTCCTGTAGTGCTGGCTCAGGTTACAAGCCTATACAAACAGATACACAGGCACCGTGTATCCATTCCTGAGACAAGGCAGTCTGCTGCAAAACAGAAGTTCTGCAAAGCATGAGAAAAGATACAGATTTAAAAGGAAGAGCAGCAAAGAGAAGGGAAACAACCATGGATTACAGTAAGGTGCACATTACAGTATTGGTTTATGTTAAAAAATCTGAGGGTTTAATGTCACTTTAACTTCCATCAATTGCAACGTGGGACACACACACAGGTTTTAGTCCTCCCTCAGCCAGAAATAATAATTAAAAAAAGCCACTCCCAATCAAGAGCAATAGAGACGTGCTACAAAACATGTTAGCTGCCTGGATCTCGTGCTGATCCAATGACTTCATTGCACTGACCTGACCTGAGCATTGTAGATCAGTAGTGGAGTCACCTTCATTGAGCTCACTGTAAATTTATAGCGTAGAAACTCTTAGGCTTGTTGGCTTAGAAAAACTGGAGCTTGAAGCTTAACAATGGAGAAGACACCACCGATTAGGGCTGCAATCACATTGTTGTCTTTGCATTTGTTACTATTGAAATGGATAAAAACCCATAATGCCCACTGCAATTGCACATTACGATCCATGACTTGTGTTGACATTTTTTGCATTTCCATGATTGTATTTGTGCAGATGTTTGTAACTCTTCAAAATGACTAACTCTGAAGAAAGATTACACCTTTACGCCCCTCCACATGTTTATTGTGAAATGCTCATTTTATAGTGCATTACTGCTATGCATTACTACGAGCATTGTGTATTGCAGTGCCATGTATTTATAATGACACCCTAACCCCAAGTGCTGATGGGCCCACACTGAAGTTCCCCACAACACACATACCCTTCATTGAGTGCTCTGTACTAAAAATAAAGCTCCAGGTTTTGTTCTAAATGAATGGGCTTTCTAAAGGCAATGCACAATAAAGTGTCAAATATAGAACATTAGCATTGTGGTAATTGAACGGAATGAATAGGTGTGTAGAGGCCCTAAACAAGGCTAGCAAGAGAGGTGTCTTTTTAGATCACTTTTACTTAAAAGTGGCCCTACTGGAAGGTTCCGCCTCTGTTCCTGTTCTGGTGAAGGCTAAAGCGGGCCATGCACCTATGGATTTTCGTTCGGAAATTTTTGTTGCTGCCAAGTACCCTCGTTCGATTCTAGCTCAAATAGTGCAAGCACAATGTCAATTTCGATAATCGTTCGTTAGCAATACCAACTCACCGAATTTTGTCGATCAACACAATGGATTTCTGTTTGTGTGTGCAGTGTTCAGGCTGCCATTTTTTTCGAACAAAAATGCTACCAATCCATCAATTTTCGCTCGATTCGAAACATGTTTTCCAGCCTCACTCTTCGAGAAATTCAAGCGGGATTACAGTAAACAAAATCGTTGGTGTCCCATCAACTGTTTTTCGAAGGATAATTGTGAGTGTATGGGCACATTTAGAGCTTGTTCACACCATATACAGTGCTTTCCAGAGTGGTCAGCTGCTGGAACGCACTGTATCGCATCCCG